GTGCCGGCTGCTGCTCTGCGCCCATGGAGAAAACATCTCCCGGCATAACTACAGACGCTTAGCCCAGTCTAAGACTGTTCCAAGTCTCTGCAATCTTCCCGCAGCCAGGGGCTGGGAGGGGGCCAGAGGCCCCAAGGGGCTCAGAGCCCCTACCTCGTGGCTCACAACATGGCCACCACTCCAACAAACAACCAAAAACTACAACTCATCTCTTCCGGTGAGCTTGTGATATGTTTACATTTTTGCAGGAGCGCCCATTGGGCAAAACTTCCAGGGGTTACCACCCCTTGGGGTCTACCACTTTTCAGCCTCTGGGGGAAAAACCAAGGTCTAAACCACCACAGTAAGCTAAAAATAATTGGTAAATTCCAGTAAAAACTGCAGCAAGTTGCAAACACGTTTTTCTGTTGTGTAGGCTTTAAAAGGGTAAAGATGACAAGCTAGGTGGGAAGTCTTTGCCTTTATTATAATATCTCTAAAGTAGTTAGAAATATAAAATGGTAAATTTGGCCATTAGCTGTAGTTATGTTATCAAGAGACTTTATATTTTATGAATATTTAAAGACACGCTGTAAGGTATATAATGCAGGACTTCTGTATCATAGTTGTGATGCAGATAAAGTTCTTACTGAGAGCTTCCAATCCAAGAAGTTTGTTTCATGAAACATTAGTACATGAAACGTCTGCAGTAGTATAGCTTGATGGAGAAAAATAGTCTGAATGATTGGCGTCATTCTTGAAACAGCATAATGCTATTCTTGTTATGCAAACAGGGGAAGGAACAAGTAAAAATCAGTTTGTTTTGAAGAAAAGGAAAGAGTGAGAAGTAGTTCCTTGGTGCAGTGACTACTAAAAGCTGCCTTCTCCAACTTCCTCTGCTCCTGAGCTCTACACATAAAGCTCAATCATCAAAAAGAAGACATTCTTCAATGCTAAGGCACAATAAAAGAAAAATTCATGGTGTTCTCAGATATGTTTACAGTTCCAAAAAGTCCAAAGTTACTTGGGCTTTGCTTTTATCATGGTTGATCTAAAAGGTTCCACAGAAATAACCTTTAACACAAAATCGAGGAACTCAATTGGTAACTCACCCAGGTAACAAATATCTATCTTTAGCTATTTCTAGCTGGGCTTACAGCTTTCTGATGAAAAGTGGCCTATTTCAATAGGAAACGATGCAGTCCACTTGGTGTGTTTGGGTTTGGGGTTTTTTTTTTAATCTTTAATAAATGCTGTGTCCCTGGCATATACATGAAAAGAATAAAGACTAGGGACATATTTCTTCTCTAGAATAAACTGTAGAAAATACAATGAAAGAAAATGTGAGAATAAGCTTTACTCACATCTCTTTTCCAATGAAATTACAGCAGAGAAGAGGGGAGGAAATCCATAACAGGGAACAACCTTTTTCTTTTTTTTTTTTTAGAAGAGTTTATTGAGTACATTCTCAAAGCTTTTTACAGACTCTGCTCTAAAAGCTGTCAGTATAGGATAGGTAGTTAAAACTGGTCACTTCCATCCCTTTCAGTTTAAATGGAAGGCAACTATAAGTGTGGTAAGGAAGATCTATGATTATTATAGCAGGGAATGGATGAGCAGATGCAATTTATATAGGACAGACAGAATCTTTGCGGGTTTGTAGCCCTGTTAATGCAGATATGTCTTCTGGGCGTCTGACTGCAAAGAAGCACGTGCAGGACGACTTGGTTTAGTGAACAAAGCAATAAAGGTGTCAATAATTGAACAGAAGATGTAATAATATCTTACAATAGCTACAGAACAATACTGAACTAGAGTTTATTGGGTACTAGAAACCCAGTATTAGTAGAGACTTTTTGGCTGAGAGCTTGTGCCAATGTACAATAATTCATACAGCTTCTTTGTATTTATCTTTAAGAAGTCAAGTGCAACTATAATCACTTTAATCATAAGCAGTGACAGCATAAAACAATTTATTAGTGAATTTTCATCTGATTAACTGCTATCACCTTTGTCCAATGTATTATACTAAATATAGATCCTGTGTTCTAGGATCATCATGAGCTGCTAAGTCTTTGCTCTTAATAACAGTATCAAAGAGATAATATGTGTTAAAATGAGGCAATATGCTTCTGGTTTTTTCTTCACTGTACATATTTCAACACTCCTTTGAATTTGTGTAGGGCATCTACTGACAGTAAGATACAATCTTTTCAAGTTATCACTTATATGTACACAGTTCTATAAATCCATTATCTTGGATTATGCAGTGGGAAAGAGATGTAAATGTCTTGAATCGATAAAAATGTAGTTTGTACTATCCAGAACTGCATTCATTCTTTTTTTCCTTCACATTCAGTTCATAGGCTCATAGAATGATTTGGGTTGGAAAGAGCCTTAAAGATTATCTAGTTTCAATCTTCCTGCCATAGGCAGGGACACCTTCTACTAGAGCAAGTTGCTCAAAACCCCATCTAACCTGCCTCTGAATGCTTCCATGTATGGGGAGCCCACAGTTTCTCTGGGCATCCTGTAAAAGTGTCTCACCTCCCTCACAGTAAAGAATTTCTTCCTAATATGTGACCCAAACCTACTCTCTCTTTGTTTTAAGCCATTCCCACTTATCCTATCACTAGATGCCCTTGTGAAAAGTCCTTCTCCAGCTTTCTTGTAGACTCTCTTTAGGTACTGTAAGGTTGTTATAAGGTTTTCCCGGAGCCTTCTCTTCTTCAGGCTGAACAATCTCAACGTTGAGGTGAAATTTCATTAAAAAAAGATGTATTTTATAGAACCATACAATTTGAAAGTTTGTTTTAAAAGTCAAACCTGACATGACTCGTCTCTGAATCTGAGGTCTTAGTAAACCTGAGGGATTTTGTAAGAGCCCAGATCATCTTGACTTGTGGATCCAAATAAGTATGACTTTTCTCCTTCTTGGTTGATTTTTTTTTCAGAAATCAAGATAAATTTTTTAGTGTGCATTTTTGTTTGTTTTGAATTCAGCTGAAAACAGAGAGCAGTCCTTTTTCTCTTGGCATTGGAAAAATTTGCTCTCAGTCTTGGCCTGAAATTCTGGGTTCTTCAAAACCAAATGTAAGGGACATAAAATGAAAGGCACATGGAAGTAGAAGAAAATAGGAAGTTCAAAAAACAGGGTATAGGATGGCTTAGGGCTGTAAAGTGTCAAGTCCCCCTTAGTCCTTTTTAAAATATTTTGTTTCTTTGTTTGTTTGTTGTGGTTTGCATTTTTTTTAAGAGCTCTGGACAGAGCTTTTTAAGAGTTCTGGACACTTATGCTCCAAAAAGGTAAATTTTGATTTGATTTCAAACACCTAGTCCTTGGAGACAATACATACTTATTGAAGAACTTGTTAAACAATTTGCTTTCAGAAAATACAAAGATGTATATAGATACTATTTTACAATTTATTCAATCTTTACACTATACAATACTTCCATCCATTTTGGAAAACTGAGATATGTAATATAAGAATGTGTTTTATTGTATGCTATAGATTTTTCTTGTACAAGTGATGAAATGGAGAAAAGTCTATTCTGGAAACCAGTTCAAGAAGCTTCTCCAGCACATATGATTTTCTGTGAACAACAAAAGAAAAAGTAATTTTGTAAACTACTATCACATTGACTGTGTGATCAGCTGCTCCAGGTACTTCATCCCATGTCCCTGTTTGCATAAACTTATGAACTTTCTTCACTGATTGAAGTTACTCATGCTTGCAAATGCAATACCAACCTTGGACCTTGTTTGAGGTTCATTTTAGTTCTACTACAAAATTCATCTCTGTTAGCTTCTGTTGATATCCACTGTGGTAGAGACAGTCCTGGGTTTTAAGGGATGAGCCTTTATTAAGCAAAGGAGCACTAGAACTGTCAATATAGTCACACAGTAGTCTTCACTCAAACTGGAGAAGGACTCTTCAGTCAGCTATTTTCAACAAGGATTGAGACATATTTGTCAAGCAAAATGAAATGAAGATTTTTCACACAGGATTTCTGAGCTCTTACCTGACATTGGTATAAGGAGTAAGTCATACATTCTAACTGAAAAGTAATTTAGCATCTTTCCCTGGAGTAAAAGGGTGTTAACTACATTCACCAGTAAGCCTGCAAAAGGCACTACTTAATAATAAGAAATCAATTTTGCAGAAATGCAAAATCTCTTTTACAATGACTCTAAAATACTTATTACAGAACAGGAAGAAGTCAGCTTGATAAGCAGAAGACAAACACAATGCCAAGATCACTTACTTGTTAATAAAACACTTGTTCAGAATGAGAATCAAGTTCTTAAAGTCTTTGTTCTGGCTTAACAAGGTGTATATCACTTCTAGTTTCTGATATGCATGCCTCATTAACACTTTGGTGTAGCATCAGATCTGGACTAGTTACAGGAAGTCATTTCACCCAACACAAAACCACTAAATGTGTTGTCTTGTCTCTCCTCATTGGTAGATCAGCCTGTCCAGGTCACCACAGTTGTATTATTTCTGCAATAATGAAAGAATTAAGGAAAACTACTTGGGTATTTTGACCAAATTAGGCACCTCACATAAAATGTTAGCTGATGTGAATAATCCTATTAATGGTTCATCATTAACATAATAAGCATATGCCATTCCTTGCACTGCAGGAATTTTTGCACTATGATAAAAGAGAGCTAGCTACTGGGTTTGATCCCAGTGCTAATTGATACCTGTGAATCATAAGTAAATATTATAGCTAATTTCTTTGGTCAGGAGAGTGCTCATTCAGCATAACATTTAGACTGTAAGGAGATCAGAAAAAAGTGTTCTGAAAAATGAGTATGACAGAGAACTAGATACAACTTCATTAAACTGTCTCAAAAATTAAACATTTAATTTGCCCTAATATAGAAATAGCATTTCAATTCATTGCTTCTAAATATTTCATATGCTTCTAATAACCTAATCCACAAATACATACTGTGCAGTGCCACCTCTCTCACCCAAACACATTTACAGAGACATGTGCTTTTTCTTTTTACTTGTTCCTTCCTATTTTCACAGCATATGCTGTTACCTTCTTTTCCTGAAGCAAAACTGCTTATAGCTGTTCTAGGGACATTGCTGCAAACTTTCATTTGAGTTAAAACATATTTATTTTTTAAAATTGTAGTATATTCATCATTTGCACTCACATGATGCCCTCTGTGTCCAGTTAGCTTTGTGTTGTGATGGTCTCCACAGACTCTGCTAGAAAAAGAAGTATTTGGCCTCATTCTGATCTGTCCCAAAGATCAAGAAAACCACAGGGAAAAGCTTCCAGTAACATGAATTGGCTTTGGATCAGTCCCTGTGACAGAAGATCATTTTTTCATTATGCCATTTGTTTTTTTTTTCTGATCAGTAAAATGCTCTGATCTCCGCTTCCTCTACTGTTTGGGATCTCAGAATGTAAAAATTATTTAAACATTTGAAGACTTTCTTCTTCTTTATGTAACATTTCTTGCAGAATTCTTTTTTGCTCTATTTTTTAATGTTAATTTCAAATATTGGGGGTTTTTAAGAGATCCTTAATGGTTAAGTTTGAAAGCAAATGTTTATTGATTAGCACCAAATGTGTACCTCCTGGCATTCTGTCAAGCTTCACCTGCCAAAACTCATGTGAAGCTTCTAGTTCTGGAATTCAGCAGCCACCTTAGTACTGCTCTAATGAGGAAAAATATAGTCATTAAGGTGGCTATTGTTTTCAATATTTAAACTTATTCTTGAAGGGATTATTGTTGCAATATTATTCTTGCTGACAGAACCCACTGCTTAGCTGGTTAACTGCTTCTTCACTTTCATTTTTATTGATACAAATTACTTTAAAAATTCAAACAAGAGGCTGGTTGCAAATCTTCTATTAATGCTGTTTAAGTCTGCATGCAATGGAGATACTGCATTATTTAAAATGTTATGTTTGACTTTCTATTTTCAGACTTGTGTCCTAATTGGTTTGCCAAAACAATGGAAATTTTAGAGAATACAGGCAATTTACAGAAAAAAATCTCTATCTTGGAAGAAATATTTGTGATTTAGTTCCTTTCAGCACACATGTCCATGTATTACGTAAAACTGGATGTAGCTGAAACTTTCTGATTTGCTGAATATATTCCCAGGTGAATAATTTTTTAATATTTAATTTTAGATATGTAATTATATGTAGTATAAGTATATATATAATTTTTTATATTGAATAATATACATGCAATATGTCAACTGAAAAATATACTAGGTTTATTCAAGTAATATTGTAACCTAATAACTATACCATATATTGTACCATAACTATAATGTGGCTTACACTTTGTTGGTGTATCACCGGTACTTCAAATCTAACTTATTTAAAGACAGTCTTCTAATAGAAACATCCGATGGTTGTTTTAATTTCCATTTTTTTAAGAATCCAACTCTAATAAAGGCATTTTGCTTATAGATGTCAGTTCTTAAAGCCAGTTTTTCCAGTGTGCCCACCTGGGCACATTGCTGGCTCATGTTCAGCGACCCGTTGATCAACACCCCCAGCTCCTTTTCTGCTTGGCCATTTTCCAGCCAATCTTGCCCCCAGTCTGTAGCTCTGCATGGGGTTGTTGTGACCCAAGGGCAAGCCTTGGCACTTGGCCTTATCGAACCTCGTACCATTGGCCCATCCATATCCCCCTACAGAGCCCTCCTGCCCTCCAGCAAATCAACACTCCTGCCTAGCCCGGTGTCATCTCCAAACTTGCTGATGGTGGACTCATTATCCAGGTTGTTGATAAAGCTATTAAACAGGACTGAACACAGGTAGATGGGGATAGTCTGTTACTTTGGAAATAGAGAAGGATGAAGTATTTTTTCTGAATCAGTCGTGTGTAAGAGGATGTAGATGTCCTACTTAGCCTCAGGTCACTACCAGTACCTCCCTGCAGCAACCATTGATATGATACGATAATATAGTATACGAACCATAAGAAGACTCATTTAGACATGGATCTAACTTCTGCCTAAAGTCACAATTTGATCCCAAGGAAACTCATGTTTCTGGGCAAATATCAGGCCAGGGTTTTTCTTTTCAACTGAACAAATTATTGTGTGGTTATTTATGGAGGTTTTTTAATGTTGTATATCCTGAAATAGATGTATGGTTTTTGTGTGAGCCTTCACACTTTCTCCCTCCTCTTTATGTATTAGCAGAAGTATACATGGTTGCCTATACTCAGTATTGAGCTTCAGAAGTTTAAGTTTTTATTCAGCCTTTGTCTCTTCAAGCTAAACTGAATTCTAGTCACTAAAATGCAGTGGCTTTGGCTTCCAGGCAGCAATCGTTTCCAGGCAGGTATTTATAGCATTGCAATGTAGTTGGTTTACCTTCAAGGTAGAATCAGTGTAGGGCAATTTTAACTCTGTTGTGCTTGTGACTCACTGAATATGAGGTTGCATTTCTTACAGGAAGACTCCTTTAATCCTGAACATTAGCAATGTGTAGCATCTCCCACTTTCGCTAATTTTTATATGTTTTACTGGCACACTTGATAATATTGCAAGGGGCAAAATTATTTATGGCTATCAGACATTTAAAATAGGATAATACCTTGAGGTCTGTCCTGTGTTTTAAGTCAGATATTCTTATTTTGTGGGAGAAGAAAAATTATTTTATTAGGATGATTAGAGTTTTAAATCCATGCTTAGCAGTAAAATGTATATGCCTCTACATTAGGTAGCCCCAAGTGTTTGGCATTTCTTAATTTGTAGCAAGGGTTTTCAGTCTGTCCAAGAACTTTATTATGTGAAGTATGTTTTCATTTAGCCAGGAAATGGTCTCATTTAAGTTTGTGTAGAGCAGAAATAGCTCCTGATTTCAGTAACACTGGCAGACCTATTCTGTGATTGAAGAATTCAAAAGGAAATAGGGAACAGTGAGGTCAGTGGGGTTTGCCTACTGAGGAAAAGGTATACTTTCTTCATGTATCCTCTTAGTTGTGTGACTTCAGAATTTGTGCTTACAAAACACAGAATGTTTTTAAAGATGTCATCTAGGAAGACTTAGAGCTTGTATGTAAAGGAGCTCACCAAAAGACATCCTTAGCTGCCAACAGGAATCTCTTTAAGTGCACGATCAAAGCCAGATGTAGGTGGGAAGTGGTAGTGATAATTTTGATGATGGGTTTGGGGTTTGTTTCCCCTCCTCCTTCAAATTCTTGTTTAATTTAAAGGGATGGAAAAAAGATTATCTATATCAGGTTACCTCAGTGGTTTACCTAAGGAGAAAATAGTTATTAAAAGTTAGTATGAGAGTACATGAGAAAGATGTAGAGGCATATACATCATTCCTGACAAAGGACATGGACAATACCAAAGAACAACATATTGGGACACCATCCAAGTTTTAAACCTGACCACTTGGTTTGAATCCATCAATTTAGACACGTAAGGTATTTGAAGTGTCTTCTAAAGTATTTGGAGTCATTTTTCAATCAGCCTGTTCCTTAACCATCATTCTGAACCTGTAAGAGGCTGTAGCTTACATCTTTACAAAGTGTATTCTATGAAAGATTAAGTTATATTTGTGTTACAAATGCCACAAATGTTGAAAATATTTTGGTGCATGCAATATTCTTGACTTTATTTCACCTACCAATATCAATAGGCACAACATCTGCTCTAAAGATTTTGTCCTTCAGCTGTAAAAGGAAACTTATTTTCCCAGTGTTCCTCAGCTTTTCATTTGTCCGTTGTGTAAGCATTGTGGCTGTGGTCACAAAAGATTTTATTCATAGTCTATAGCAATTATGAAGTCAATAGTAATAGGTAAGGTATAGAATTGATAGTTTAATGTTTTGACACTCTTATTTAGATGTTAGTATTACTTGTTAGTTAGATTAATGCATATTGGACTTGTTCACAGGGTGTTTCCTGAAGCCTGAATCCCATGGATTCTAGGGATCTATATATCATCTATATATAGATCTATCTAGAGATATAGATATATCTATATATATCTAGGTAACTGCCAAAGGTTATCGGCCTGTGGCGTAACATACCAGCTACAAATTACATAACTGCATTTGGTCTTCCTTGCACTGACTATTACAGGAAAGTTTTTAGTATCATTGTGAAGAGGTTTAGGTTCTTGGAAATCTTGGTAGTTTCTAATTAAAAAGGAATTGATTATAACTATCTTTATTCAATATGCCATATTTTCTTTCAATAAACAATATCCTTTAGAATTTCAAGATGTTACTTAAAAGGGTCTTTATGATATCTCTCATGCTATTGTTCTAGTTAATCAAATACTTGCTGCACTGCCTCTTTCTTCAATAAACAACCTTCAGAATAGTCTACTAGCTAGAGCTATGACAGTAGGTGAACTCTATGAGACCTAATCCCTTCCTGTGTATGTACGAACCTGATATCGAACAGATTTGTCCTCTGTCTAAGGGTAACTGTACATTGTTACACTTATTTTTTTATCTGCACAACAAAACTCATACAATCCAGTCATAATGCCATGTTTATGCTGGAATGACTTGGGAAAAAAAGCAGCTTAGAATAACTCCCCAAAGAATCTCTGGTAACTTGATTGTACTTCAAGGACTGCTTTAAAAAGTCAAGAATTTTTTTTTGACCCATTCATAAAATTTTTCACTGTAAGCATTCTAGTTCAATTTTTTCTGAAAGTAATATTTTTCAAAAGGGTATTTCAGTAGTCTCTTAATAGAGGAACATTTATCCTTCCCAAAGTAGATTTATTTACTCAAAGACACACTTTAAAATGATTCGCTGGCATTGTTAGTTCCCTGTGATCTTGGTGATAGAAATCTCCATTCTCTATAGTTCTTGTTTTCAAGGTAGATAACCCATTTCACAGATTACTGGGATGGCTACGTAAGCTATTAATGCTTCAACAGAATTAGATAGCTCATAGTTCAAGAAATGTACAAAATCTGTATGTGAATATAAAAAATATAAAGAGTTCATAAGTGAATTAAGGAAAAAAAAAAACCAAACAAAAAAAGCATCTCTACTAGGAGGCACCAGACATCTCTTAGAAGGAAACAAAATAAAGTAGCTGCCATAGATAAGAAACACATTCATGCACTACGGTGCCTAAGGAATTTTAGTAAATACTTCTTAAACAAGCCATTGCATGCAGTACTTGTTTCTTACTGAAGTGTTGAGAGCAATTACATTTCAGGCTGTCTGGAAGTAAATTACCATGTGGTGATGACTCAGGCTTTTCTTTCAAGAGAGAAAACACTACCTTTCAAATTTAGCAAAAGAGATTTTCACTGATTCGTGGGCTCCAAGTTCACTTTTATCTTTTATAAGACCTGTAGTATAACATGAACTACTCATGAGAGCTACTTCTGGGGGGGGAAAAATCCCTTTTTTAAAAATCTTTTCCCTTGGACTTATATTAATACTAGTAGCAGTGACATTCTGAGCAAGTAGGCTTATTGCATTGCCTTTAAGTCAGCTTAGTTCAGGTCAACTTGGATTTAAGTTTCAAGTTAGAAAATCACATGATTTTATAAGCACTCATAAATGTCTGTTTATGTTATAAAGTGACTTTAGCAAGTGATTATTTCTCTTAATTTTTTCCCAAGTGAGGAAATTAAAAGAAAGGTGAAAGCAGTACTCACAAGTTGCAGTTGCAAAGATGATATGCATGACATTTCTATTCAGTTGTCTTACATGTTTGGGAGAAATCATATCAAGTCGGTGGGGTTGCAGAATAGAAAACAATGTGGCTGCTGACCAGAGTTTTAGTGTTAAACTTAACCTTTGCTTCTGTGGCAGAGCAACTGCCTACATTTGTAGAGATTTAGCACTCTGCTACTTTGCCTCCTGAGACATCAGGTAACCCTGATGCTATTTACTAAAGCATACAGATGTCTCCCAGAGACATCTACAGGAAATATATGCCTGACTCGAGCGGAAACTTGATTTAATTCAGGAGGAGAATTCACTGACTACACATATTAAGGTTTAAGAAAGTGGATTAATTTTTAGTTTAAAAATAAACCAATTAA